GAGACTGCCCATCCTTCTCCCTTGGAGCAGCTGGTGGATTTGAACTGTGTGCCTTCGGCATTACAGCCCAGATTCTTAGCACTCACTAGACTACAGGAGCTTTGTTTTACTGAAAAGAACAGCTAATTAACTTTTTGTTTGGTTTGGAAACTTAGAGAGGTTTCAGTGAATTAGGCTGGATAGATTATAAATTAGAAAGTGGCAAATGGTTGGAAGGGATTGAAAGTCCTTAGGGACAAGCCATTTGACTTTCCCCCTCCCCATAATCAGTTATATATTCAGGATATAGTAAATGTTTCACAAATACATGGTGAATGGCTAATATGTAGAAGGTATGCATGTGTATTAAGTAGTAAAAAAATAAACATAAAAAACTTGTACTGAACATGCAAGTATGTATGTGTGTGTATCTAACTTAAATATCTGGAATATTTTACAAGGGAAGAAAATGGATACTTGAGAGGACACACCCAAACACACACACACACACACACACACACACACACACACACACACACACACACCCCGAAAGCCTTTCAGTGTTACTGTTTCTGCGTGCCCACGAGTCGGAATTGACTGACAGCTGACTGCCAGCAGGTTTTCAGAGGCAGTAAATCCCACGGGAGGAGACTTGCCCACCTCTCTTCTGCGGAGCAACTAATTAGTGGATTCTAACTGTCTGCCTGTAAGTTTGCAGGGAAGGTTCTTAACACCAGACCACCAGAGATCCCTAACCTTAAGGCCGTTTTTCAGAGGTTTTGAGAGTCTTTATGTTGATTTTGTAGTGATATTTCTGGGACACGACACGACCTCTGAGGATTGACTTTTAGCTCTAACATATTTGTCAAGGTAGCTTCATGCACTGGAACCCATGCCCGCTAGTCTTTCAACTGCAGAAAACTAGGGATCAGGTTGACACCTCTGGTGACATCCCAAAACTCCCCAGCTCCACCTGGTTATTTTGGATGGCAACCTGATTCAGTCATCTCCCACCAAGTTACTGCAACTTTCCTCCTCCCCAGGCTGGTAGGAAATTCTCTCATTTTATGTTCATTTTCTTCAAAGGTTTTGGGAAGAGATGGCTTCCTCCAACCAGATTATTATATAAATAGGCTGAGGGCCACAGAGGCGAAGTGACTCCTCTGAGCTCATAGCAAATAATTATCTCAACCTAAGTACATCCGGAATAACAAATATCCTCAGCTCTCGTCCTGGCCCCATTGTCTTAGTCTCAAGCTCAGGGCTGCAAACAGCAAGGAAAACAATTGCATATGCCATACCGAGCGGCAAGGGGAGGAAGTGGTCATTAGTAAACTCCAGAGCCTTGGGATCACCTGCTCGCCAGGATCAAAACACTGAGACAAGCCATTCATAAGGACATCAGGGACGAGCGGGCCTTTGTTTTCAGAGGCAGCTGCTGAGCTGAGTTCAACAGTGGCCTGGAGCAGTTGAGACGCCTGCAGACAGAGCGAGGGCGGTGCTGCGCGCCCGGGGAGCGAACGGCGCAGTGGGGCTCTGCAGCGCCACCTCTGGGCGAACCTGGAAGGACCTTCGCTGGAAGCGCAAGGAACCCGGCCACCTTTTGAACCTCTGGGAAAACGCAGACGTCTCCCTGCAGGCCCCAAAGGTGCGGAGACTGCAAACTGTCTGCAGTCGCAGGGCAGAGCTGGCCCTGCAGTTGTAGCAAACCCTAAGTGAGCAAAGTCCCGGGTAAACAAGCCTCCGGGGCACGCACGCACCCTCACGCGCGACTCCACCCGCATTTCCCACGAGGGTGGCGCTCAGCTATGCGCCCTGCAGCTCCTCCAGCCCCTGCCACCCTCTGGCCAGGCCCCAGGCTCTGATTGCCCCCCCCCCCACCCCACCCTGCTCCACCCGGCGACCTTGCCACCTACCACTCACCATCTCTTGCCTGAGGAGGTGAAGCTTGGTTTCTAGCCTCTCAAGAGTGCTGGAGTGACCACGTCGTGGGGAGCCAGAGGTGGGCGAGGACGAAGAGGAGGACGACACAGAGGGGGGGAAGCTGCAGCTGCTGCTGCTGCTGGTGCTGCAGCCGCCGCCACCTCCACCGCCGCAGCTCCCCCCGCAGAGGTCCGCGTCCCCTTCCCGGGGGAGCGGTTCCTCCCCGCGGAGCGAGCGCACCAGGCTCTCGGGCACTTTGCGCCCCAGCTTCAGCTCGATGTCCCTGAGGTCTGGCAGCGGGCCGTCTTCCATGGCTTCCCCAGAAAGGTGGGAAGGGCAATCCAAGGCAGGGGACGAGAGCAGCAGGGCCTCTGGGGGCTGTGGGAGCGGGCAGAGCCCTCCCAGCGCTGCGGGCCGGGGTCTCTACCTTTGGCGGATCGAGCGCGCCTGCAGCTTCATAACAGCGTCAGCCGGAATCCGCACCCGACACGGTCACAGCCGCAGCTCCCAGAGCCGGCACTGCGCCTCCCACACCAGCTAGGCGGCTGGAGAACCCCTCATGCTCCCCCTTTTGGGCCACCCCACTGCAAAGTTGAGTTAATCGATATTGCAGGGTGGCAGGGGTGGGGGTGGGGGCGTAAATCTCAGAGCCCGGAAGAAAATGCGATCTGCCTTTGCTTCACGTGGTCAAAGTGCTCCTTCGCATCTCTGCACCCTCTCCGGACTGGCCGGCCGGCACCTTCCGGCGACAGAATGAGGATGTGGCCAACTCGCCCCGGGTCCGCTCATTGTCCAGCCATATGTCTCCAAGCTTTTCGGATCCCCTGGATTGTCAGAAATAATCTCTGCTCAGTGAGAAAGGCGGCCGTCCACGGGCATGACGAGGCGAGAGAAAGATTTGGCTTAGCGGGAGCTGACCAGCTTCCTCGACGCAGCGCGCTGCCCGGCGGCCCACGGAGGCTGCCTGATCCAAGCCGGGGTGTTCCTCGGAGCCTCGGAAACTTTAAACTCCTCTGGCAGGTGGACCAAACCCGGGACAACCCTTCTACCGTATATCGCCGAAAAGGAGGTCAAAAGGATTGTCTCCGCCCAGCTGTTCCTAGTAAATTGGAAACTTTCTGCTGGTGGTGTGTGTGGTGCATTAAGTGTTGCCACAAACCTAGAGGTTAGCCCTTTGAAGCCATCAGCTACTCAGTCCTGAAAAAGTCTGGCGGTCTTCTCCTGTGAAGATTTGCAACATCAGAAACCAATGGAGGACTGTGAAATAGAATGAACTTCCTGATAGTGGGAGACTGAATTGAGATTATCCAAAACTGCTCTTTTCCTCCGCGTCCCCTTCCCCTTTTCCCCCGTGAAATTGACTTTCAAACTGTTAACACAATTTAGAAGCCAAATGACTTTAAATTTGTGCCATTTCTCATTACTTATAGTCCTTTAAAAAAAAAAAAGTTTTAGCTATAGAAAACTTTACTAATGAGTTTATACTAAGAGGAAAACAATCTCATCCAAAGTTCAACAGAAATGCACGCCCACTGCTAATTTCTTTACCAAAGTTGTGTTATGTCACTGTCATAGAAGGGAAGAAAAAGTAAGAATAGCTTATATGAATATTCAGACTTTTTATTAGAAGGCAGCTCAGTTAATTTTAGTATAGTTATGGAAAAAATAATACTAATCTTAACTAGTAAAAAGGATATCTTCTTTGATGATTTTCAATAATTCTTATCAAACTACTTAGGAAAAATCCATGTGCATTAACCTATTTCTACCCAAAAGGCTGCTATGAGCTACACGAATAAGAGATTTCATTCCTCATTGTGTGCCAGCTATCTTCAAGATGGAGAATACTATTTTCACTACAGTAAACCGCTAGTTTGCTATCCATGAGGCTATTTAGGTGGCCTAGTGATAAACAAAAATTCTTACATCAGGCCAATAGGCAGCATGAAGTTGTTAATGATTTCATCTTGCTCAGAACCACAATCAACACCCTTGACATGAGCAGTCAGAAAATCAAAGAATTAATTACATTGTTGTTGCTATTATGTGCCATCGAGTTGTTTGCGACTCATAGCGACCCTATGTACAACAGCCCTAAACCCTGTTCTATCCCGTGCCAATCTCATTGCCTCTGACACACCCATCCTGATTACCCCAGTCACTGAATCAATCCACCTCATAGAGGGTCTTCCCCTCCTGCG